AGATTTGTGGCCTTCTTCGAGTTTGGCGGTGTGATGTGTGTGGAGAGCGTCAACCGGGAGATGTCTCCCCTTGTAGACAACATTGCTGCCTGGATGACTGAGTACCTGAACCGGCACCTGCACAACTGGATCCAGGACAACGGAGGCTGGGTACGTCCCCTGATTGCTCACTTCCTCTCCCGGCTCTGGCACAATGCTGGTGGGTCCCCGGGGTTGGACAGTGCCTGGGAGGTTGCACTTGCATTGGGGGGAGCAAAAGGTTTGCCCAGGGGTATCTGCACTGGCGTGTGCCAAAACAGCACGTGCCTTTTGCCAGATGTTGAGTTTCACCTCGTTGCAGGGTACGATGGAATGGTTTGCGATGGGGGAACAGCTACAGGTCAGGAGTGAAAGGGATGAATGAGGCACCCTCTTCATCAATGGTCTCTGCTTTCCGGCTCCTGTCCACCCTTGGCTGCAGGCAGAACCAGCCCTGGCCAAGCAGGGTACTGCAGCAGGGTGGAAGGGGCAGCAGAGGTGCCCATCCAGCTGCCAGGGCAAAGCGCATCGCAGCAGGTCCCAGGCACGGGGGCAGCAGGGACCACCTGTGTGTGTGCACGTGCAGGTGTACCTGCCCGTTAGGGGTGATGCGATGAACATGGGGTCACAGTGGTGCTGGTGAACAGGTGGCCACTGGTGACAGCATCTACAGCGGTGGTGGCAACTGGAGTGGGGTTTTATGGTATAGAACATGTCTAGTGTGAAAAATCTGTCTTTGTCTCGAGATGAAACAAAGGTACTGGGAGCTGTGTTCATGGGATGGTTCAGGAAAATGGGTATTTGTTGTGATCTGATGGGTGACTGTGTTTCTGGGTTAGAGATCATCTCTGTCCAGGGCGGACTTCAGCATCATCCAGAAGGGGAAGATTTCCACTTGTGGAAAACGGACAGCTTTTACACTGATAGTCAGTCAAAAGCCTTCCCTTTTTCTCTCTCCATCTCTTCCCAAAATAAATAACTGCATTGAAATTGGAAGGGTATTTCTTTCTTTTTTTCCTGTATTAATTGATATACTGGGACAAAATGTGGTCCCCGCCACTCTCCCACAAACCTGTTGTATGTGTACAGCTTATGATATTGATGCGTTGGAGGATGAAATGGCAAAAGTTATAGTGAAGAAGAAACCTTACATATGGGCTGAGAGCTGGTGCAAGTCACCTAGAAATGGAGGTCAGCTAGGTAGGGCACTGGCAATTTCAGGTGTGGTCCTCTGTGAAATACAGAGATCTGACTCAATTGCACTGCACATCTTTAAGAGGTGTGTGTAAAAGAATATAAAATATAGTATATGTTTCCCACATTGTTTGCAAGCCTGGTGTTTGTGAAGCATTGTCACATTAAATTTTTGCACTGGGTCTCTTGCTAAGTCAGTGTTAGGCTGAATAACGTGCCGACTGCATTGACCGTCTCTGTTAAA